CCTCAGAAGGAAGTAGGGTATTTTTGTGGGACCCCTGAGTTGGTTCTGCAAGAGTGTTGTTATGAAAGAACTGGCCTGTCCATTCTCGGCCTCTTTTGGCTTCCTGGTCTTGCAATGCCATCTCTCACTCTTGCACACACTCCAGCATAGTGGTGCTATCCATCATGAGGTGACATAGCCACAAGGGCCCCCACTAGAGCTGTCATAGGTTGTTTGGACTTCACTTCCAACTGTGAGTCAAATAAACCTCTTTTCTTTATAAAGTTACCCAGCCTGAAGTATTTTGTGTAACTTCACCTCTCCCTAAATAGCAATGAAAGCTTCTTGTCATTGCCTCTACTTCCTTTGTTCATATGTTCGTTCATTCATTCATTCATTCATCCAGTGAGCAGTTAGTAACAAAAAACAGACTAACAGAGTTAGCTAACAAGTTAACACAAATGTATACGTCTTATGTGCCTAAGAGTTAGGAGACCATCCCTGCCTCGAGAGTTTATCACCTAGATGAGCATACTGGAACAAAATTCCTGATGCTGGGCTGTGTCGCCCAACAGCACATAGGTGGCAAGTACCAGATAAAGTAGCAGCTTACTGTCTCTGGTGAGCTTTAACCTGTACGAGGTGGCCCATATGGGACTTCTTACTCATCTTCTGACAGTTAGATACTGGGTTGAACCAGATAAAATTACCACTTCATAGGGAAGAAATAGTCAGACAGCAGCAGTTTCATATCATTCAGCCTAGTGCTTGCCACTCTATTGTATTGGCATTTGACACCTTTTAAATGCTTTGAGTTTTTGATTGTTTTTTTTTTTCAGCCACCGATGATAGGAATTTAAAAAGGAATAATGTTCTTCCTGGAAATGTGAAAAATAGAAAAAAAAAGGAAGAAAAATCTTAATCCTAAATTTGGCAATTCAGAGACATCCCTAGTAAGATTCGTAGTAGTATTTTCTTTTAGATATTTTTCTCTTCATTTCACATGAAGTTGGACTGATGCTGCATATATGATGTTACATCTTCCATTTAAAACTAACAATTAAGCGTGGTGATGCACCCTTGTGACCTCAGTACTTGGGCATCTGACGCTGGAAGCTAGTCAGCTCAAGGCTAGCCTGGGCTATATAGCAGGATCCTGTCTCAAAAACAGAGTAATTGACAAAATCTCATTTGCTCAAGGTATCCATCATGATTTATTTTTTCAGGGCTGGGATCGATCCCAGGGCCTTGCACATGGTGGGCAAGCACTTTGCACTGAGCCGCATCCCAGCCCTCATCACGAGGTTTTGACATATGTGTTCATTATGAAATTATTATTGGTTAGCAGCTGTGCTTATTTGTTGATTTTTGGCAGCACTGGGGTTTAAACTCAGGGCCTCACGTTTGCTAGGCAGGCACTCTACCACTTGAACCACTCCACCAGCCCACTGGTTAGCAGCTGATTGACATAGGCCACCTCGTGTAGTTATCTTTTGTGTACCTGTTTGGTAAGAATAGTTAAGATCCACTTTCTCAGCAAATTTCAGGTGTACAATACATTGTTATTAACTTACTCGTCTTCAACTGCAAGTCCGTCCCCTTTGACCAGCATTTCTCCGTTTTCTCTAGCTTCCTCCCACCTCCACCATTCACAGCAAGATGGATGACCCTGGAGGATTTTATGCTAAGCAGGCCAAACACAAAAACTCAAATACTGCATGATCTTACATGTGGAATCTAAAAAGGTTCAACTCACAGAAACAGAGTGGAACAGTGAATCCCTCTCATGAATTTCTCACTTCAGTTATTGTAATTTTCAGCACTAGAGAGTGTGTGTGTGTGTGTGTGTAATACTGGGTTTTGAACTCAGGACTTCACACTTGCTAAGCAAACAGTATCACTTGGGTTACCCCCCGCCCAACCCCCCCCCCCCCCCCCCCCCCCCCCGGTTCTTTTTTACTTTATTTTTCAGCTAGGTGTTGTGTTTTTGTCTGGGAGCCAGCCTCAGACTGTGGTCTTCCTAACTTTTTTCCCCCCCTAGGTTGACCTAGAACCAAGATCCTCCCATCTTCTCCCCCGACATAGCTGAGATTACAAGTGTACACCACCCTGCCCAACCCAAGTCCTCTAGATTTTCTTTTTGATACGTCCACTTTGTTTATACATTGTTTCCTTGGTTTTATTCACATCTTCTAAAAGCTCTTTAAGACAGTTGTTTTTAGTTTGGGTGTGGTGATTCATGCCTACAATGCTAGCAGTTGGGATACAAAGGCAGGAGGATCTAGAATTCAAAGCCAGCTTGGACTGCGTTAGTGAGGCCCTAAAAGACAGTTGTTTTAAAATCTTTGTCTAGTATATCTGACATCAGGTGTTTTTCAGAGATAATTTCTATCAACTTATTTCTTCCTTCGACTGGGCCCTATTTCCCTATTTCTCTATATGCCTTGTGACCTTTGTTGTTGAAAACTTGGGCATTTGAATCTAAAAATGTGGTAGACTTTGTTACCAGACTGACCCCTTCCCTAAGGCTTGCTGGTTTTGTTCCTGGTTTTGGTGGCTCTAGATTGTCCAATTCTGGGTACATGCATGTTGGGTGAGTGTTTTACTTGCCTACATTGAGATACATCCCCATTCCTTTGTTACAGTTCTATTTTGAGACTGTGCAGGCTGATCTTGAGCTTACTATGTAACCCATGTGGGCCTTGAACTTGGGATCCTTCTGCCTCTACTTCCTAAGTAGCTGGGATTACAGTCATAAGCCACCATGCATAGATCAACTTTGGTCCTATGTGGCTGGTTAAGCTAAATCCTGATGAGCAGAGATTTTTGTCTGAAGGGTTTCCTGGTTTTGTGGGAAATGCATGTGTTGAAAACTCTTTCACTGTGAATGATAAATAAAATATGGCTGTTGCTGTTACATCATTACATTTTCACTCTTGTTTTCAATCAATGAACAATGACAGATATTTGAGGCATTTGTCAATTAGTTGGCCTTAATATAGTTCATATTGAGTTAAAGGTTTTGTACATACAGTTTAAAGACCTATTTATACCTTCCCATATCTCACGTAGCACAGTGCTTATTTTGTGGAAAAACAAGTAGTTTATTAGCAAGAAGGAATGAGGATGTCTGCACAAACTTGCTAGCCTCCCCAAAAGACAATGCTTTTTTTTTGCAATTCACTAAGTAACAAGGCACATTAGTCACGGTGAAATGTTTTAGCCATGCAAAATACCTGCTGTAACTTAGGATGAGCACTGACTTCAGCAGTTCGGGTTGGTACCAGTCAGGGGAGGGGACGGAAAGATCACGTGGGAGAATGTGGTGCAGATTCTGTGTGCACATGTATGTAAATGGAAAAATGAGACCTGCTGAAACCGTCCCAGGAATGGGGGAGCTAAAGGAGAACGGTGGCGGGGGTGAGTCTAACTATGATATATTTGATACATTGTAAGAACGTTTGCAAATGCCACAGTGTACCTCCACCCAGCACAACAATAAGAAAAAATTAAAATTTTCATAAAAAGTTCTCCTGAAGAATTGAGCTGATAGTTTTGGAAAGAATCACATTATTTACATCAGGGAGTAAAACATCAGGATGTCACTAGTTTGCTAGGGTTTAACCTTTCCTTAACCAGCAGTCTTCATGACATAGAGCCTCATCTGTTACAGGCAGGGCTGGCTTCATGCATGTGTACTGTGTGCTCTCAAGTGCTGGCACTTGAAATAAAGTTCTGTTGCCATCTAGAAATTCCCACCACACTTTAAAAGGGTTCTGTGTTTTCATTTTGCACTGGGCTCTGCCAGTTTCGTAGCAGAGCCTGACTGTGAGAACTGATTCCCCTTTCATCAAATTTTATAGTCTATAGCATCATTTTTTACAGGAAAAACTATGGTAGAGGCAGGGGCTGCAGGGAGCTAAAACTTAGATGATAGGAAAGGCAAAGAGCACTGTACTGAGGGCCACCGGTCCTTCATTAATAGCAATAGGAACTGCTACCACCCCTGCTCCGCCCTCTACCCACCAAGCTCTCACTAAGATTCCGTGTGCACCATTGCCTTTTGTTTAGTCTTCTTGCTAATCTGCAAAATGGTGAGGAGTTGAAGCTTCTAATAAGTCAGTTGTCTACAATGAACACTGTCCTTTCTACCCAGTTAAGAAGGAGCCAGCCTATCTTAACTGTTGTTAAATTTAGACTCAAATCACTGTTTTACCTACTTTCAGAATTGCATTTGCAGAGAGGGGCCACAGATTACAGCTTACATAGTTTGTTGATTTTCTAGTTTTTAATTTACATGTAAGTATAGGTAGTGCAGGTTATGCATCCCTGATCTAGAAAATCTGAAATTTGAAAATTCAAAACTTTTTGAGCACTGACATGCTGCAAACTGACATGGGATGGGTTACAACATCAAAACACAGATGCAAACTGGGCATGGTGGCCAAGTCTATAATCCCAGAACTCAAGAAGCAGAGGTAGAAGGATTTCCGAGACCGTGTCTCAAGAAATCAAGGGCTGCTGGTGTTGCTCAGCAGGAGAGCACTTGTCTAGCGTGCACAAAGTCCTGGGTTCAATTCCCAGCACTGCCAAAAATAATTAATAAAATTACCTTCAGGCTATGTATGTATGAAACACAAATGAATTTTATGTTGATACTTGAGTCCTGGAATTTTCCAAGAAGAAATAAGCACCCCTCCTCCTTCTCTCAGGAGATAATGCCAGTAAACAATGCTGTCTAGTTTTTAAACTTCAGCCAAAATGACATTTTGTTTAGTGGTTATTTTCATTGTAATTATTTTCCTAGTTTTTATGTGTGATTCTGTTCTGCCATAATTAAGAAAGATAATCCACGTGTTCTATTTTAAATTTCACATTTTAAAATAAGGGTTTTGTGGATTTTTTTTTTTTAGGCTGAAATTGAGCAAGGATTAGGTGCTGAGTTCAAACCCCAGTACTGAAAAAGAAATTACAAATAAAGAAATTCTATTTTGAACTAACCCCAATTATGTCTCCTGCAGGAAGACGTCCCTAGCAGCTGATGTCTCCAGGCGTGGATACAGTCATGTGCCCAGTCACAAGTACATCCCTCGGAGGGCAGTGCTCTATGTACCTGGAGATGACGAAAAGAAAATAAAGAAGATCCCATCCCTGAAAGTAGATTGTGCAGTGCTCGACTGTGAGGATGGTGTGGCTGCAAACAAAAAGGTAAGGCCTGATTTTCAGATGCGAGAGAGAAAGGAACTAAAATTTGCTATTCTTGGGCTGCATTGCTCAGTTTGGAAAGATCCTACTGTACTCATGCTTTGCTGATTGCTAACAGTTTCTGGGTCAGCCCTTCCATGGGTTCTGATTTTGTGTGTGTGTGTGTGTGTGTGTGTCTTCTCTGAGAGAAAGGAAGAATTCAAACAAAATATATTCAAATACCATGATCTTCAATGCGTGTGGCCATTATGTGTACAGATAAAGAGACAATTTTGGCCATGATATTTGCTGGTAAATGAGGTATACAAGTCTACAATTATAGTGTAAAATTTTCAGGCCAATTAAAATACAACTGAGGAAATTGAGTAATGGTCTTATATCTTCTGAGAAAAATGCCAAGAAAATAAAAGATAATCTTCCATGGATAAGTCACCAGTATTCCTACTTACATAGAAACTATACATGAATCTTAGGGTCGTTTGTAGCTTCTGACTGATTTTCTCATGACCTGATCGAAGAAATGAACCTTAGGAAATTTCTGACTTGTGAATGGGTACCAAAGGTGTTTCTCCTCCTCCTCCTCCACTATCACCACCACCACCACCACCACTGTGCTCAGCACACAAGGTTCTTATTTGGTGGTGTATAGTGGATGCTTTTGGTTTCATTTTGTTTTGCTTAACTATACTTTCTAGATTTTTATAAAGAACACAGATCTGATCAGTAACTAGGTGAATATGTAAATCTTTATAATAAAAACTTATGTTTGTATGGAATGTTTTTGTGTAAAAACATGCTTTCTTCTTTATATTTCCAATGTGTGGACACTGAAGTTGGAGTGGGAATGGATCGTGGGGCTGAGGGATGGAGGGAGCTGGCCATCTGGATTTCTGCCTATTTGGGTGGCCCCTTCCCCAGGTGATCTGAAATAACCTGTGTGTACTGTAAAACTTTCTAGATTAATTGCTTTCTTTAGAGAGTCTAGCAAACAAACACATGCCTTAGTTTAAAAAAATGAAGTTATTTCTACCAGTAAAACCAAGGCTTTCAAAGTATTTGGAAAAGGGTTAGAATAAGTATGCAGAGTCTGCTTCTCCTAAACATCTTTGGTGTGTGCCAAGGAAAATACAATTAATCTTCTTTCTTCCAGAGATTAAGGTAAATAGCTGCCCCCACCCCCCTTTTTTTAAACTATATTGTGATTCTAGTCTGCTCCCTCCCAAAGCTCATATAGTGTGCTCTGAGATTAGATGCTGAATTGTAATTCCATCTCCTTGCGACCCAGGGCAATTCACTTCACTTCTTTGCCTCAGTTTCTTATCTGCACTTGGTGTATGACAATATCTTCTTTTGTCAGGAACACGGATTATTATGGGAGAAAAGCTGATAAAGTGCCTGGAAGTAGCTTGATTTCCTATAAGAAGTAGTTTAGATAAAGTCTGTAGTAATCATGATTAGAGGGAATTCTTTCAGCATTACGGCATAGTAAGCCATTAGGCATCCCGATAAAGTCCTAATTATACTTCAACGCAAGTTTTGAGGCTGTTCTCTGAGATCCACCTGAGGGTGTTTCCTGTCCCCCACATGCATTGGAAACTGGTCCATTCCTACACATTGCTGACTGTTTATCTGTGTCCTCACCCATCCTTGTATTCAGAGTCACAGGCTGTGAGCTACCACATGGAGAACCTAAGAGGAGAGGGTAGAGAACAGTTCACGATGGGCAAGTTGTGCCCACCATCTTGGAGTATACATGCACACAGTGCCTTATTAGGATAGGACACTCCAGTTCTCTTAACACAGCCGAACATTACAGTCATTGCTAGACGCACTCTTTTCTGCATGTTGAGCTTAGAGTCACCTACATTTCCCTTTAAAATCCACAGAAAATCCTGATAAGCCAGGATAGTACTTGTAAAAAAATTTTTTTTCTTACAATTTCTATCTAGGATTTAATTTCATCTTAGATACTTCATTTTATAGCTGTAGCCTGTCAAGATTTTTTGGGCTGTTGATTTCATCATCCAACATTTATATTCTCTGAGAATTTGACAGAACACCATATGAACAATTAACAAGTTTCCTATGGAAATGTTGAAGAGGTTGGAGCCAAGCGCTGCACAAACATTCCATTCACAAACAAACTCTGTTCAAGTGTGTTTAACAAACACTTGTGCTGTGCTGACTAAATGCCAGGCAGTGTAACTTACATGACAATCCGTTGACACTTGATTACATTCCTCTTACAAGTAAGGAAAGTGAAGCCTACAGATGTCATGTGCATGATTAATATTGGGAATATCATGGTTCAGTCACCTACCTCTTAACATCCAGCCCTTTTCTGTGGTACTGAGATTTGAACTCAGGGCTTTGTGCTTGCTAGACAGGCGCTTTACACTTGAGCTGAACCTCCAGCCCTTTTTGCTCTGATTATTTTTGAAATATAGTCTCACTTTTTTGCCCAGGCTGGCCTGGACTGTGATCCTCTTATTTTAGGATTCCCTCCAGAGCTGGAGTTACAGGTACGTACTACCACACTCAGCTTTTTCTGTTGAGATGGGATCTTGCAAACTTTTTGCCCTGGCTGGTTTTGAACCAAGAGCCTCCCAGTCTCAGCCTCGCAAGTAGCTAGGATTACATGCGTCTTTTAATGAAGGTATTATAAGGTTTTTCTCAAGTGCCTTTTCATAATAAAATTATATTCCCTGTGTACACTCTGTACCTCTGCATCACCAGAGGTCAGATAGATAAGACTTGTTCATGATGAGTCTATGTCAGTACCTAGCTGCTCCCACCTCTTTTTGAAGTGGTAGAAATAAAAAAGAAAAAAAAAGTTTACTGAGAATTTTCTATCTCACAGGTACTGTTTTGCATATATCACTATTTGTATACATTGTTTCATTCATATATGATTTTCCTATATAATCTCATTTAATCTTTGGCATAAAGTTTTGAAATCTTTTCAAGGTTACCTTGCCACTACATGGCAGAACTAAGATTTGAATTTCCTAGAATTTTTGATAGAATCAGCCTGATGCTCACTGGCAGCATATTCCATAATTCACTTTTCCCCCTTTCTCAGAAGGCTAGTGCCTTGGCCTCTCTTTTTCTTTTGTTGACTTTGAGCTTGCCATGATTTGTCAAAGATTGCTGGCAGGAGCTCTTTGTTTACATCTTAATTCTTTCAGTGTCCTGGGATTGTAATTCATTGAGACCTAGTGACTTCAATTCATTCTAAATGTCCAGATAAGTCCGAAATTTCTCACATCTCCTGTTCTTGTTTCTTTCTTGAAGTCACTGTTTAATGGTGGAGGGGGGTGAATTCAAGTATGATATATTTGATACATCGTAAGAACTTTTGTAAATGCCACAGTGTATCCCTACCCAGCACAACAATTAAAAAAAAAAAAAAAGGAATCACTGCTTAATTATTTTTCTTATTTGAATGTTATTCTTCTTGATGAATAGAGACCATTTTTGGTGAGTTTAATTTCTTACTAAGTGGAAGTCCATGTCATTTATTGATTGACTGATTTTTTTTTTTTTTTTTGAGGCAGGGCCTCACTATGTAGTGCAGGCTAACCTTGAATTCATGATCCTCCTACCTCTGCCATCCAACTGTTGGGATTACAGTTCTGTACCACCTGGTCATATTAAACTCTTATTTCAGATTATCTAGTTATAGTTTTGGTAAACCAAGCTATTATTACCTAATTTAGCTTTGTTGGAATTATTAAAATGTAGTCACTTCATTTTATATCCCATTTTATTCCCTTTTAATTAATAGACTAATCCCATATTTCATTTGGAAATGGAGTGTGGGATTATAATGAAGACAATAGGAGTTTCCACAAAGCAGTTTATAAGTATGAATACCTTCCAGCAGGCTCTAATCCTTCCTGTTAATTCAAGTTGTCATTCCTTTGCATCAAAAATGATTCCACCAGCTCACTTCCTAAGCATGAATGATGAAAAGGCTACTGCTCTCCCCCTTATCTTCTCCTCTTCATCGTTAAATACATGAGGAGGTGCTAGGCTGTCTAAGCCACTGCTTACTAGGCCACGGTAGAAGCATCCCATGTAAGGCATAGAATTCTGGTGAATCATCTTGATACCGGGTATGGTGAAGAAGATAGGAATGGAGGAGTAGAGGCAGGATTCCAGGGCTGCTATTTCAGTTGAATAGGTATTGAAACACTTAGTTAAACTTGAGTAAATACTCAATGTCTAAGTGAATATTGAGTACCCATTCAACCATGTCTAATGGCCAGCAGGAGGAATGCAAAGACGGTTGAATGGTCCCCAACTGGGAGGAGTCGCATGCCTGTGGTGAAGTAGACGAAAGAATAAACTTACAAATCAACAATCCCTCTCTGCAAAAACACATTCTGTTTATTTTCATTTGATTCTAAGTGGGTTTTTTTTTTGTCATACTGGAATTTGAACTCAGTGCCTCGTGCTTGCCAGGCAGGCACTCTACCACTTGAGCCATTCCATCAGCCCTGTTTTGTGTTGGCTATTTTTGAGATAGAGTCTCCCAAACTATTTGTCTGAGCTGGCTTTGAACCTCAATTCTCCTGATATCTGCCTCCTGAGTAGCTAGGGTTACAGGTGTGAGCCACCGGCACCTACCTCTAATTGGTTTTTAATTGCCAATTTGATCTCTTGCTTGAACCATGAGATATTAAAAAAAAAAATGCTCTGTAGTGAAGAAGCAGTTCAGTTACTTTCATTTGTTGCTTTGCTTTTTCTTTTTTTTAATGTTTGCAATCCTTTGTGTACTAATACTTTCATAAAATACAGTAAAAATAAGTTGCTTTGAATTAGATGCTTCTTAGGTGTCACAGCAATGTTAAATGCTATAGAAGTTTCCAAACTCTTCTCTCCATGTCAGGCTTACCTCATGGTGGCACAGTAAGATTGGAGCAACACCACACTTTGAGCAGTAGGGATGTCCAGATTTCCAAGAGTATAGGAGATTATCTCTTTTAGTTAGCATTTTG